CTAAAAAAGCATCATATGACCCCTTTAACAAAAATGAATAAGATGAAGCATGGCATACATCACATGCTGTATTATATACCGACTAATAAATTACAGAACGTTTAGCAAACACTTGAGGAATCAAATAAATAAAAAAGAGAGCCTCCATAGCATAACGTGAGGTAAACGGCAAAGATAACAAGCTTTTCAAAATGAAAACAAAAAGAAGAGTAAAACTAAACTTGCTGTCGGTGACAGTGCTTGCATGTTTTTTCCCCCCACAAGAATACCAGCATGTTCACCTTTGGTTTAAGAAGCGGTCTTTTACTTTACTTCAGCATGAAAACCATCCATCGTTTCCTCAATATTCGCTTAATTTTTGCTGCACGCAGCTTCGCGCTCCTGACGCGGCGAGTATAAACCAGGCTCTACACTATAAGCGCTGCGCAGTTCAAACGAGTAGCGCGGTTTCGTTATGCTTTCAGTTTTGTTTGCCATTTGATGTTTCTCATATGCAACAGAAATGCAGCGCTTATGAATGAACAATGCGGTGGTCGCGCCAGTGTGACTGCACACAAAATTTAGTTGCATGGGCAGAAAAAATTCTCGCAAAATGCACCCATTTGGTCGCACTCTGGAGCCCTGTGCAGTACAGTATTTATTTATCCTCAGTTGTTCAAATCGCGGTAATCGAATACGGTTATAGTGATAATTAAAATATGAAACGGTAATACTAACCGTGAGGTATTTTATCACGATTTATCGTCAAACCGGTAATCGTTACATCCCTAATTAAAATAGAAAACTGTTATTTTAAACAGGAATTTCACAACTGTGTTCTTGACCAAAATATCTTACCGATCCTAAACTTTTAAACAGTAGTGTACAGCATCACTGAGTAACGTACTTTAACAGTAAGGTTCTACATGCAGAAAAGTGCAAATTCAATTAATTGTGGTTTAATTTTGACTAAATCACACGAAACCTCTAGTAATGTATGTTATTCAGTCTTATAAGTGCTTGTTGTTCCTTCACTTTCTCAGAGCGCTCGGCAGCAGGGGCCCATCCTAACCAAACATGGAAAAAACCCGGTCATGGAGCTGAATGAAAAACGCAGAGGACTAAAATACGAGCTCACCTCTGAGACTGGTGGAAGCCACGACAAACGCTTCGTCATGGAGGTGAGGACACAAACTCAGAGACACATTCTAGTTTTTCATATGACGTGTTTGTAAGGTGAAATTCTCATTAAATTCATCTTATATATTCTAGACAGATCAAATCAAAAAAGCTGCACCTTTTCTCTATTTTTCGCTCCAGGTGGAGATCGACGGACAGAAGTTTCAGGGAACCGGATCCAATAAAAAGGTGGCGAAGGCCTACGCAGCACTTGCAGCCCTGGAGAAGCTCTTCCCAGAAGGCTCCAACTCGGAGGCAAATAAGAAGAATAAAATGCCTCCAATGGTACGCCTGGCTCTTCCTGTTTTTAGTGTCATTATGATCTTCACGTATATATCCTGTGCATAATTGACTGATTTGCTCATTTCAGCACCCCGCTGGATTTGGGATGATGAGTGGGCCGCCTGCTGACATGGCGGTCAATCCCAGGGGCAGAGGAAGAGGACGTGGCAGGGGCAGAGGCCGGGGATTTAACAATGGAGGAGGATTCAATCAAGGTACAATTATAGTGCTGTCTGAAAGCATCCGTTTGCATTAGGCTTTTATTTTAGACAAACAAATCAAACAATTAAGTACTTAACTTTCACTAAATATGGATAAAAGCTACGGCTAACAGTAGCTGACACTCTGAAGTTTCTGACATCAGTTCTGGTGGGGAAAATTATTTGCGATTAACTGTTAATCCTCAATTCTTTACACTTGGAACAAATGCAAAATAAGTGTTTGATATTTGATGTTTACAAAAACTGATTTGTGTGTAGTGATGGGGAAAAGGCATGAAATTCCCTGAAATTATGAGTGTACATAGTTGAGATCATAAATGCAAACTGGTTATTAGGGCTCAAGCTTTCTCTCACATTTATTATTCTCACACAATTAAGCCTATTCAAGGAATGGTACCATATATAACCTTTTTCCCATCTGTTTTTGAGTACTGTTTTGGCGTTCTCATTAGGGCTGTCCAAAAATTTTTAGAATTTTGAATATTCGTCAAATTTAAAATAAAAATCCACATTCGAATGAAAAATGCTGCATTCGAGTTTTAGGTGTGCGTTAAGGAGGCCTTATCGTGGCGCACGAGATGCGATGAGGATGTAAGTGTCGTTGCATTATAATGTTTTTGTTAGCCTATCCAGTTGAAGCCACTAGAATGCGGCACTGCTGCGTTGTTCATTAAAAATATTGCGGAAAAAGAGAACATCAATGCGGAGAAGATCTTGTTTACTTCAAAACTGAAAACAAGCCGCTCACACAACGCATATTTCGCACATTTTCTAGAGGGACATCTATTACCGTTGCACTCATGTCTCGCACAAAAGAGCCGCATGTTTAGAAAGCCATGTAAAATTAATGCAAGTTCAACTTTGAAAAAAACATATCGAGAATTTATGGCGGGGTTTTTTTTCCCCATCCCACTGTGTCTCATGTTTTTAAATGGAAAAATGTACTCTCTGATTGGTTTTCCACCCTTTGTATTAAACTATGCATACAAACATGATGCTGTGCAACTTTACAGATCTTCTTTATGCACCAAGAGCTTGTAACCCTCCAAAGAGAAAGGAAAACTTGAAATCGCATCATATGATCCCTTTAAGCAACTTTAATTCATTAATTAGTTTATAAACATTATTTTAAACATTATGCACTTTCTTCACTGATAGTCCTTATGCTTTGAATGAACGTCCATTAGTAATATTTCGCTCCATGTGCCCTCTTGTGGCCTCAGAAGAGAAGCCAAAAGCTATTCTTCACCATAACTGAAATTATGCATTTTAAATTCGAATATAATTCGAATTTTGATAATATTTAAGTATAAAATTCGAATTTAGTTTTTCAGCCATTTTGACAGCCCTAATTCTCATTGATATATATATATAAATAGTAGTATTCAAATTAATGCATTATTTTTAAAATATACTTTGATATGAATATTTATGGCATTAATTAAATGGTCAAATAGTGAGAATTCTTAAATTTGTGACCATATCTTTACTGGTTGAAACATGGTACTTTTCAGATATATTTGTGTGCTGAATTATGACTTTAAAGTAGTTTATCGAAAAGTGGTGAAATTTTGCAACCCTAAATATTGTGGTTTTTATAATTAATGGCTTCCTTGTGCTATGATTTATACATGAATTATGCCTCTAATTGTGTCTAATAAAACAAAAGTCCTGTTGACTTGCATTTGAACATATAAATATTCTTATTTATATCCTTGTCCCCTTTTAGGTGGATATGGAACGTATGGATATGGCGGCAATAACAACTTTGGCTACAGTGAGTATTTTCCTATTTCTCACTGGTGCCATTGAATCTACTCTTCTTTTTTTTTTTATTTTGTATCTTTTAGCATTGTTGTCTTTTAAGTAGTCTTGTCTTTATGGCACAAGTTGTTGCCGTTTTAATTTCCTCTGTTATTTTTGACTGCATCTCAAGTTAAGAAGTCTGTGCACTTTGCTCTGGATCTATTTAAACTGCTCCTCTGCTAGTTTTGGGGATGTGTTAATGATATCTTTAATGCGAGTGTCCGCTATTGTATTTTACTTTTGATTTTACATTTCTCTGCTTTGTTGTGCCATGGCACGCAAACTTTCCTTGGCGAAAAATGAAAAATGTTCCCAACATGCCAACGCCACTTTCTGAGGAAAGACCTTCTTGAGGGTGACCGGAGCAGAGAAATCTAAAAAGAAAGAAAGAAAAAAAACAAACACACAGAAAACTATCTTTGACCTTGGTGATAACTGATTGACATCCTTGACTCATGCCCGGTGACGTTTGTCATGGCATGCCAAACACAGAAGACGTCTAATTCTGTGCTTCTCTGCTCTGTCTCACCCTTTAGGTGACTTTGTCTCAGACTCCTATGGCTACCATGAGTTTGCGACATAAACCGCCCAATGTTTTCAATAAGCACGCAAACGTGAAACGAAAAATAGGGACAGAGGGGAAAAAAACACTGGTTATCCGTATTATGAACTCGTTTCCTTGTGATGTTTCGCCCACAATCTCACCTCAAAAAACCTGCACCAACGATCAACTAACACTGTGGATGTGAACGGGAGTTTCTGCCTGTGGAAATCAAGAAAAGCAAGATGTTCTGACGTATTATTTGTGCCGCGGTCAGCGCAGTCGAGCAATGTGATTGGCTGATGGATGGTCACAAAGTAGCGGACTGACATTTCATAATGACTGCATCTTCACTCTGAAGTCACTGTATAAGCCATTTTTTGCCAACAGTTTAGTTGTTTTTCCTGGAATAATGCTCCCGATGGATTTTTAATTATGGCACTTCCATACATTGCCATGTTTTTAAGTTTATTTAGTTTTCTTTTTTAATTGTGGTCAATGCCATTGATTGTGAGAAACTGGGTTTGTGAGGAGTAGACACAGATTTTTAATATCAGAATGTTATCAATTCTGTGAACTATTGAACAAATGGGGTACATTTGCTGCATTTTTGTTTTTAAATTTGATGTTTGTGAATCACATTATATTTTGCAATAAATTTGAATTCATTTACAAACCTGTGATATCCATGTAAACTTTTATTATTAGTAGTAGGTTTTTTTTTTTTTTTTTTGTTAAACAGATTTGCATAGGTTTAGGGGCTTTTTTGTTTTATAATTTATTTTTTTTTTAGCTAATATTACGATTGAAAACAGTTTCTCTCTTTTAGTGTTTTGCAAAGAGCTTTTGGCCTCTTCTATTCAATCCAAAAAAAATCTTTGTATACAGATATGCAAAGCCAGTATTTATTACTGCAATTGCTTTCGTAACCACTCGTCACATGTTTTAGAAAACTAAATTGGTATTAAGCTGAGGTCACACTAAAATTTCAGCATGCAAAATTGTTGCAGACAGTGCAGCGGTCATGATATGACAAACTATAGCCCCTTTTTTTTTTTTTTTTAG